AGGTACGGCAGATAGTGTAGAACCTTCGGGCGGACTACTTAAATTAGGCACTCAAAAGGTGCACGTGTGGCTATATGGACTCTTACTGTAATTGAAAAACATAACTATCTAATAAAACGTTCCCCAGCCAAAGAGGTCACCTTAATACTGAAAAATATATATATATATATATATATATATATAAACACATAAATGTTTTTTAATTTTTTTTTAAATTTTTTTCCTAGTTTAAAAGTCAGCTTAGCTGATTCACTTTTATTTCATCAGCAAAAAAAAACCTATCGTCAACAAAAATAAATATATTTTTTTTAATTTTTATTTATTTTATTTTTTATAATAGATTTAGAAAATTTAGTTTAACCTAATAAAATTTCTGTTGATATACATGTATTTAAAGAATTAATTGAATATAAAGAAGATACTATAAAATTGGAATTTGAAAAAAGTCAATTTATTCTTAAAATTAGTAATTAAGAACATATAATTGAAGATTTAAATAATTATATTACTGCAATTCAGTATAAAAATTCTATAGAAATTTCAGAATTAAAAGATTTTATAAAACTGAAATTTCTAATTTAAATAATAAATATTATAATGAAATTTTACAAAATCATAAAAATGAAATTTTAAATTTAAAAGAATATTATGAAAATGAAAAGTTAAATTTAAAAGAATATTATGAAAATGAAAATTTAAATTTAAAAAATTATTATAAATCTGAAATATTTAAGCTAGAAAATAATTTTAATCAAATAAAAAATAATTATAATGTTGAAATTAATTCAAAAAATAAGCAATATACCAAAATTTATAATCTAAAAAAGAAGATATATACTTTAGAACAAGAATTAAAAAATCCTTCTATTGATTTATTTTTAAACATTTTTAATGATAATATTAATAATTGAATTTTATATTTTATCGCATATGCGATGTATCGCACCCTATAAGATCGTGTGTAATATGAAATCAAAACAATAAAATTAATTTGTTAATTTAGGGTTAGGGTGAGGGTAGGGTTAGGTTAAAGTTAGTGTTAGGGTAGAGTGCTTTAGCAAAGAGGTTCTAACCCAAAATTTTGAGAGGATTAGTGTACGAGAAATGGTTTCATAGGCAAAATTTTGTACTATAGCCGATTTTTGAAGAAAAATTATAATCGCTTCAATTTCACGTTACACCTGATCCTGCATTCTAATTGGTTGATCAGGGGTGGTGATACATCGCCATGGCGGTAAATTATAAAACCCTTAATAATTTATCTAGTTTATTATATAATAAACAATATGAAGAAAAATGTTTTTTATCTACAAATTCAGATAAATTTATGAAAATAATAAATTTATCAAATTTAAAACTATTTGTTTTAATGTTTTATAATGCATTTAAATCTAATAATCAAAATGACAAATCTATTGAAAAACTTAAAATAAGAATAATGTTATTAATGTATCATTTAGCTGGACTAAAAAATAATAAAATTACAAATGTAAAAAATTCAATTAGAAATTTTTTACTTAAAGCTAGTCTTTCAAAAAGAGCAATTAATTTATTATCAAATTTTAGATATATTACAAGTTATTCAAAATTATATTCATATATAATTAATTTAGAAAAAAATCATACAATATATGTGCAAAAATATTTACAAAATAATTTAAATAATCTTTTTATTATTAATATAGATGATTATCATGATTGTCATCAAACTAGACTTCCAACTATGACTTCTAATAGTAGAATATGTCATATGGCAACTACATTAATTAATAGTATGCCTAATATTTTAAAAATTCCATTTATTTCTTCAAATAATTTTTCAGTTTTTAAATCTGGATTAATTTCAGTTAGTTATCTTAATAATACATTATCTAATAAACTACGTAATAATTTAATTAGTAATAATAGTCATAAAATAATATTTCAGATATTATAATATTTTCAGCTAAATCTTTAATAGAATCTTTATCAGTTCATATGTATAATGGTACTCTTGAAAATTAACATATGAGAAATTTTAATAATACAAAACTTATTGATTTTACTTCTTCTGATTTAAAAACTACAGATAATTATTTACAAAGAATTAATAATTTATTAAAATTTTCTGATATTAAAAACTATTTAAATGATAATATAATAATTGCACTTATAGATTTTCCTGGTCAATTATATGTTCGAAAACTTATTGTATATAAATATTTTAATCTATGTTATAATATTCCAAAAGAAATTAATCATTTTGTTCTATTACTTGGACCTTTACATGTTTCATTAAATACATGACAAACATGTCTTCATAAATTCCATCAATTTTTTAATGAATTATATATGAGTGTTTTTAATAAGAAAAAAAAGTTAGCAGAAAAACCAAAACCATGGCAAATAAATTTATTGTTTTATATTGCTCATGCTGAATAGATTAAAATAAGATCTGAAGTTCTTGAAGCTTTTAAAAATTCTAAAAATAGAGGTTTTTATTCAATTTTAAATCTTTTAGATGATATTATACCTTCAACTTTAGATATTTATATAAATTTATTTAAAAATAATTATTTTGAATATTATTATGAAACTATATTTTGATTATGGATGTTTATGCTAAGATGCAATTGAAAAAATTATAATAAAATAATGCTTGTTTTTTTATCAGATATTTTACAATGGAATGAAAATCAACATCCAATAATAAATCTATTTTATAATAATTTAAATTTACTTGATGAATATCCAGTTGAAAATTTTCATAGTTTAGTACGTAGAAGTACTACATCTAAATTAATAAATCCAAAAACTCTTCGTAGATATGGAATTTTTATAGATCATAAAAAACATGAAAATAAATTTATTTCAAATTTTTTAAAAACAAAAGAATATTTATTTTCTAAACCTCAATTAGATTCTTTAGTTTCTAATTCTAGTATATTTCTTTTGAAATTTTTTACAAATTTTTATAAAAAACAAAATGATTTTAAAATTCAAACAAATAGAAAAAATAAAATTGAAGTTTATATTCTAACAATTGAAAAAAGTTTTGAAAAAGGAATTCTTCCATCAGCATATCATACTAATATAATTCCAAGTGAAGAAAAATTATGTGATTTACAATTTTGTAATATTATAAATTCAAATATTATTATATTATTATATGGACATTCATATTATACTATATGTTTTAGTAATTTAAATTTTACATGTGATTATTGTTTTCAATATTATAAATCCTCAATT